TTTTCAAGAAACGTAAGAAAATATTAGCGGTATTAATTATTTATTTCTACTTACGCGCAATATCTATTGTACATCATTAGGAAAGAGAGGTAAAAGAGAGAATTTATTGATATATATGAATTACGGCTAATTATAATTTGATACAGTATCTATACCACATGAAGAAATCTTAATTTGTATGGAGCGTTAGAAATTCAAATTCTTAGTGAATTAATGTAAGATTTAATAATGAAGTTTGTTAGTATTTATTTATTTTCGATAACAGCGCGTCGATTACGTGAACTCCGACGGATCGAATGCAAAAAAAATGATTTATTCTTTTTTAATCACACATTTCTTCGTACGCGCGTGTTTGCTGTGTTTAAAATAAAACAGATATACTTGAAAGAGAGGTAGGAGATGATAAACAATATATACTGTGGAAAGAACCACAGAATGATACTAAACCTAAAATGACAGAATTATACTGAATCTAAAATGAGAATCGCAATTAAAGTCGATGATCTTTAATTGTGATTAGATTTTGACGAATTATATATTTAATTCTTTGTAAAATAAAGAGTCGATATAAAATAATTAATATTGACTTTAATTAATATGCGTTATCGCATCGATGCTAAGCATATAGTGTGCAGGATTTCCACAGTTCTAAGCAAATATTTGCTTAATGAAAACTCCATTTAGGGTGAATATACATAAAATATTAATATATTAATTATTAATATTTTATATGTACGTACACAGCGTACGTATACGATCCATCTAAAACAGCGGATTTGAATTCTGCAGCCGAAAAATCATTTACACATCAATGACGTGTCATGCGTATGTGTATACATTATATATATAATTTTAATGAAAAGAAACGATATAGAAAGAAGAGCATTTATATATATACATAAGTATTACAAATTTCAACATTAAAACGCGATAACATATTGCCACTTTCGTTGACTTTTCATGCTCTCGAAATATCGGCAACAATTTATGACGATGTACGTTTGAAAATAAAAGGCACTCGCGATGAAATAAAAAAAAGTTTGTCAAGACTGTAAAAATCGTTAAGCGCACATTGCGATTCTTTTTACTTTTCTCAGTCATTTTATCCATAGCCACAAAATTTTCTTATATCGCAAAATCATTCCGTCAGGGTTTGTATCTACGGCATGTGTCCACATTATTCTCATTTATCTATTTATTATCATTCAGATGTAAAGTTTTTCGAGCGATATAATATAATAAAAGTCTCTTCATTTTAAAAGGAAACATCTATATTCTGCTATACATCCCGTCCGAAATGTAGGATAGCATTTTTAAAACGGGGTTTTGTCCGTTTTTTAACGATAAAACAATAAGAAAAGAATTATTCTATAAAAAGACAAATAAGAAATTTAATTTAAAATTTTCTTTACGTATTAGCTTTATCTTTCGGAAAATCTATATATATTTTTGGAGATTGGCGAATAAATAAGTTTCCCTCGAACCAAAAAGAAAACCGATTTATAGAAACTTTTTAAGAAATATTAATCAATTAATCATTGGACACACTAGAGAAGAAAAGAACACGTTCCAGAGATGATGCTACGTATAAAATAAATCAAGTTGATATAAGAAAGAAAGAGACACGATTATATGTCGATAAATAAAAAAATTTTGAAAGAAATATTTCGCGTGTCTTTTATACGGAATCTGATAAGATTGACAAAAGAAAAAGCAAATCTGATTAAAATATATACGTAAGATTTTATATAAATGTTATTTTATATATGCAGGAGACGACATACGTGGAAAGAGATTTTTTTTTTTTTCATTTTACGCCACTTGATTACACTTTTTTTATTCAATAATCGTTTTACAAATTTTTTTTTTTGCAAACGACTACAACTTTTCTACAGTCACCGGCCGTTAAATCCACAGAGACATCTCACATCACGAATGAATAAAACCAATCGTGAAATATTTTCAGCAAACTGAGCATTCGAGCCAACATATTTATTCTCGATTGAAGATTAACTGGAGTCATTTTTTCAGCACATGGCGTTTTCATAATCGTTGAGCTTGCCAGATAATGGTACTAAGATAGCATCGCGTCTAATTAAAAGTCATACTGTTCCTCATTGCAGTTATATTGCATCGGATTAGAATATATGATGAAAATGTATAGTACAAGAGAAAGAAATTTATATAATTTCTCGCTTTTAACATCGCCTGTAATCCGATATAACTGCAGTGAGGCATCAGGAACCTTGAAGCTCATAGAGATGATGCGAGTGCCGGCGATACACGCTTTTCTTAAGACTTTCTTTCCGAAATTGGCCAGTCACGTGTTGACCGAGCAAACATGTTTGCTCATCGATAATCTGGTCAGCTCGTTGACGGCAATGGTGGAGGCGGTGGACGTTGAAGCATCGGCGCACAGGTTGACCGGAGACCTGCGTGCCCTGGCTCTCGTTTACAGCAGTAGCACAAGACTGAAACCATCCTCCAGCCTGCTGCCGGCTTTAGAGACCCTGCTGTCGCGAACACGGACTATTACGGTAAAAGAGAACCGTTCATCGTCGGAAGTGGAGTCGCCTTCCAAACGGCGTAGATTGTGCGGCGACAGTGAACCGGTCGACAAGGAACTGTGCGCGCCGATCAACGATATCGACATGGAGAACAATATTTCCGAGGCGGATATGGACAAGGCGGATACAGTGAACGATACGATGTCTTCCGATTCCGGGGATGATAAGGCCGCCACTGCCAGGCACAAATCAGGCAATGTTCAAGCGGAGACTATCGCCACCAGCGGCACTGTCTCACCGCCGCGTCTGGTTACTACCGCCAACAGTTGTACAAATCAGTTACGCTGCTCGTTGACTAATGTCTCGTGGCTCGAGATGCTGGAAAAGACCATTGTCGATCTTCAAACAATCGTGCAAGTGCAAAGCAAGAATAATTAAAATAATTACGCGCGCGACGTAGGCAGATGCTGAAAGGCAACACTGCTATACGATAACAGAACACATAACGATCGGTTCTACGACTTGTAAATGTGTATGACTCTTTGCGCAGGTAGAGTTTACGGTGTGTTTGCGCTCCTTTGAAATCGGATATAACTTAATTCATAATATGTATCGTACGTATGTATCAAGTTCGACTGCGATTTACTTTCCAAATATAGGAGAATAAGATATTTTCGTTATTTTGGTGACTTAAGTTATGTTAAGTTCAAATATATAAAATCGGGAGATCGTATCGCCATCGTATACATCTGGACTCTGTATAATCTTTTCATCTGAACGTGTTCGTTAGTGCTGTGAGATAGATTATTTGTCTCTTGGAAAAGACTTGATACGAGCACTTTAACGTGCAATATAACGTACACCATCCAGTATTCAGAAAACGCAATTAAATATGAAGGATGTTATAAATCTTAAAAAGCATTTCTCTAAATCTCGCTATCTCAGAAAACTTTATTCAGACAGCAAATTAATTCGATAATTTCACGCTATGCTTATGTATGAATGGAATCACAGGGTTTTAAGAAATTGTTAAAGTAAACAGATAAGACAGTGCGTTTGATCATTAGTGCAGAAATTTTTTTTATGCTCATTTCTGGTATATGCGTTTCTTTTGTTCATTTTTGACACATGAAGTTTTGGAAGTAAGTCTTATTTTAGACATTTGTTTTCTGGAGCCATTATATCCTACTAATTTGTCACATGTATCAGATCTCTTATCATTCTGTCAATAATATTCGCCTATCTCAGATAAAAATTCGTTAAATTCTCGTTTCTCAATTTCCCGAGCCACTATTTTGTTTTCAAGAAACGTAAGAAAATATTAGCGGTATTAATTATTTATTTCTACTTACGCGCAATATCTATTGTACATCATTAGGAAAGAGAGGTAAAAGAGAGAATTTATTGATATATATGAATTACGGCTAATTATAATTTGATACAGTATCTATACCACATGAAGAAATCTTAATTTGTATGGAGCGTTAGAAATTCAAATTCTTAGTGAATTAATGTAAGATTTAATAATGAAGTTTGTTAGTATTTATTTATTTTCGATAACAGCGCGTCGATTACGTGAACTCCGACGGATCGAATGCAAACCATTGGTTTTTTTTTTTTTTCATTTTACCCCCCTTGATTACACTTTTTTTATTCAATAATCGTTTTACAAATTTTTTTTTTTGCAAACGACTACAACTTTTCTACAGTCACCGGCCGTTAAATCCACAGAGACATCTCACATCACGAATGAATAAAACCAATCGTGAAATATTTTCAGCAAACTGAGCATTCGAGCCAACATATTTATTCTCGATTGAAGATTAACTGGAGTCATTTTTTCAGCACATGGCGTTTTCATAATCGTTGAGCTTGCCAGATAATGGTACTAAGATAGCATCGCGTCTAATTAAAAGTCATACTGTTCCTCATTGCAGTTATATTGCATCGGATTAGAATATATGATGAAAATGTATAGTACAAGAGAAAGAAATTTATATAATTTCTCGCTTTTAACATCGCCTGTAATCCGATATAACTGCAGTGAGGCATCAGGAACCTTGAAGCTCATAGAGATGATGCGCGTGTACAGATATGCTGGTCGACTGTTTAACAGAAAACTTTTTCCGCATTAATACTAACGCTCTCATTCTCTAGATGTCCCGTAAGCGACTCTATATATGTATATGTTGCCGAATCCGAGGAAACAGACATGTTCGATAGACTCGCGCACGACGAACGATAAGCAAGTGTCCGCTTGATGCAGTGTATATTATCTTAAATGTGTCGCTACATTTGATGTACTTGTAACGAAAATGAAAAGAACGGAAGAAATATCGGCTCTCTCTCTTTATGTCTCTCTTTTTTTTTTCTCTAAAAATGCGTTCACTCATAAGATAATCAATCTAAGCGTGTCATCTATGAACTCGTATATTATAAACTTTAATTGGCGTGAATTTTTTCTTTTCTTCTGAATTTGGAATTTCAATAAAATCGAGTTCCCTTTTTTCGTTCCATCTTTTCTTGCAATCTTCTTTGGCCTACTTTTACGTTTTATGTATATGTGTACCGTGCCGCAAGTCGCAAGCCGCAACATGAGTAGCGTCATCAGCTGCTGCAATCAGCTGTTATCTTGTACTTTCTTGACTGAAATGCATTTCTTCGTCGTTTGTATTTGCGACGACGCATCGGAAACGACGTAAACATACTTGGAAATAAGTCAAGCACAGATTGTGTTTATTAACGCGCATGATTAGCTATAACCATGGATAACGTTCGCTCGTCGGTGGATAACCTCTTCAACATGCTGTCAGGCTTCAGCGCGGGTCACGAGAAAGCTTTGAAACAGGGAATCTACAATGCCGTCGCGCTCTTCCTTCTATGCCTGGTCTCGGCAGCCGGCTATGGTCTCTACATTATACTGAGCCCCTTCGTCAAACCCCTGATCTGGGCCCTGCTATGCGGCTCCGTCCTATTCCCGTTCAAGTATTCGTTGGCTACGACGGTACAATCCTGGTTCGCCCAGGTAGAAGCATCCCGGTCCCCGCTGATCGTCAACGCGAGCCTGCTGCCCGTGCACATATTCGATAATATTTCCGAGAAACTTGGCTCCTTTTTATGGATACGTATCAAATATATCGTCGGGGCAATATCACTGGCATTAACGCCTATAGGCGTGTATCATTACACTCCTAACATTATGACGTGCCTCGCGCGGAGGATGTTTCATGTGTTCACCACCGTCTCCGGATTCTTCATCCCGACATGCAATATTTTTACGGTATAAATTGCGTTAATTTTCTCATCTTGTATATATATGTACGCTGTGTCACAACTTGACAGAAATACTTTCCTAAATAATTAATTGGATTTTATATCTTACAGGTCTCTACAATACTCATCGGATATCTAACGATACTATATATTTACTGGACGCCATCAAACTCTAGCCATTTTCGTTACATGTCTTTCGTGATATGGTTCATCGTTACCATGTATCTCTCGAGTATGGCTGGCACTTATCGAGTCTTGGTCTTCGCCGCTCTACAAATCCTATGCGCGATTGGATTTATTTACGAAGTATTATCGATTATGGAGAGTCAAGAGCTGAATGGTAGGCACTTGACGTTCTCGGAGGCCGCACGTTTCGCCTTAACGAATAATTTATTACCGAGTCCGCAGGGAGAGGTATCGGCTCCATCGGAGAGCGATAAAACGCGGACGAACGATCGGATTTTAGAGGAAGAGAGTACTTTGGATACGCCGCTTCGTCCCGAAGAAGACGTGAGGAGGCCAGCGTCGAGAGCCGATAGAATCCTCGGCGCGTCCAAATTCGGCGTAAAGTCAATGTCCTTGGATGCGGATGCTGGCCTGTCCTCTGCGCATAAACCGCGATCTGCGTGTAATGTACATTCTGTAACGACATTACGTGACCGTTATTTCCTCAGCAAAATAAAGGCTGAATTACGAATGTCTTTAGATATGCAAGATGATGAAGTCGATACTGACAAATATATGTATGGAGCGCTGTACGCGTGCGTCGGTATGCTTCTTTGGAAGCACAGATGGATCTCGTATATCCTGGTGATCCCGTTGGTGTATTATATCGTCAAACAGCTGGGTAGTTATTTCGGCTTTTGGAAAACCATACGCAGACGATGTGACTTGACAATACAAACGGTCAAGTCGTGGTGCCTGGATCGACATCAAGCTCTCATACCCTCCAATATCAGAGGTCTCTATAAAGTAAGCATTATCGTGGACGAGAAACTGAGGAATGTTCTGAAGGAATCCGTTAACGCGGTAGCGACTGCCTCTGTGATACTCGGACTGATCGTTTTCACCACTTGCGCATCTATTTTCATAACGATACAGGTACAATAAATACTCGTAATCTCATTGATCTGTACGGTTGCTTCTGTACCGTTAGTTCTGTCTATAGGTTTACATGGAAGGTTTGCATCTTGTTCAAGTTCTGCGTGTAATGTACATTCTGTAACGACATTACGTGACCGTTATTTCCTCAGCAAAATAAAGGCTGAATTACGAATGTCTTTAGATATGCAAGATGATGAAGTCGATACTGACAAATATATGTATGGAGCGCTGTACGCGTGCGTCGGTATGCTTCTTTGGAAGCACAGATGGATCTCGTATATCCTGGTGATCCCGTTGGTGTATTATATCGTTAAACAGCTGGGTAGTTATTTCGGCTTTTGGAAAACCATACGCAGACGATGTGACTTGACAATACAAACGGTCAAGTCGTGGTGCCTGGATCGACATCAAGCTCTCATACCCTCCAATATCAGAGGTCTCTATAAAGTAAGCATTATCGTGGACGAGAAACTGAGGAATGTTCTGAAGGAATCCGTTAACGCGGTAGCGACTGCCTCTGTGATACTCGGACTGATCGTTTTCACCACTTGCGCATCTATTTTCATAACGATACAGGTACAATAAATACTCGTAATCTCATTGAGTATACGGTTGCTTCTGTACCGTTAGTTCTGTCTATAGGTTTACATGGAAGGTTTGCATCTTGTTCAAGTAACAGGTGAAATATTGAATTCCTCCTTGATGAACAACCCCGATATCGACTGGGTCCCAGAGAAATGGGAAGAATCTGTTAATAGTGTTTTGGATAATGCTTATACTTATGGACGAAGCGCTATATCAGAAGGAGTAAGAAATTTACTTTTTTTTGCTTTTCTTCTTTGCATATGCTACAGGTTCACGTCCTTTATTTAGATACGAAGTCTCGTGAAAGATCTAGAATCGTCCAAGGCAGAGCAAATGGAGAAGAAAGTCTTGGAGCTTTGGGATCGTCTCTACCAGGCGTGGATGATGTCGAATGTGGATGAAAATTTCTTGGGTCCTACTGTAGACACTGCATCTGCATATTCCGCTTGGGAGAATTTCAAGGAAAGCTTCGGAAAAATGCCCCTCCGTGAGTGACTCTGTATCAAAAAATTTATGAAATTTACGATGATTCATCGTTTTAGATTTTTAACTTATTCTTATTATATAGAATCACTCTTTATACCATTAGTAATGTGAATCATCTTATATAATACAGCAATGGAATGTTTATATGAAATCTTTTTCTCTTCCAGATCTCTTCAATATGACAAGCATACAGAATTTTGCCAAGGAAAATATTGGCATTTTAATGTCAGTGCTTGATTCTATTTGGAGCATCGTCAAGGGCAATATGTCTGTGATACTGACAATATTCACAGAGCTATTCTACGTCGTACTCATGAGTGGATCGGCCGTATTTAATTTTGTACTTAGCACGGTATGCACAACACGTTTTATTAAGCTTTGATATAAAAAGAAAAGATATGAGATGTAAGAATTTTGTATTTTAGGTTGTTTTCTTTACGACTCTATTTTACTTACTCAGTTCCAGTGGTAAAACTTACAAACCCATCGAATTGACAACAATGTTCAGTCCCATTAGTTGTCATAGGTAAATACATCGATATCTTGAATTTAAATCTATACCTTTCATTTGTATGCATATGTGCATGTGTGCAAGAACTTTGAATTTTATACAAAAATATTTATCTTTATTTCTAACAAGCACAACACACGTAGAAGGGTAAGTTAATTTTCGTATAGTAATTGGAGTTAATATTTATTTAAATAATACGATTATGTATGAAAAGTCGATTATTTTTCGCGCGATAAAAATAGCAACATGCAAGACATAATGTTGACTTTCTTCTCCAGATTCGCCATTGCGTTACAAGAGGCGGTAATCGGGGTGTTCGCGGCGACCTTCAAGCTCGCCTCCTTCTTCGGTATGTGGACGTGGTTCATACACAACTTATTCCAAGTGAAGATTGTCTACTTACCATCGGCCCTCGCGACTATGCTGGGTGCAGTCCCTTTCTTAGATGCGTACTTTGCCTGCATCCCGGCCACGATAGAACTCTGGTTCACCCGCGGATCGATGCTCGCTATCCTTTTCTTTCTTTTCCATTTTCTCCCGTGTAACATAGTAGTGACGGAATTCTATAAGGAGATTAAAGGGTAAGATCGCTTCATAGTATATAAGTTCTAATAAGTTTCCAATCACATACAATATACAATATTTTTGCATATACATTTTGTTGATTTTAGTGGCGGGCATCCTTATCTGACAGGCCTATCGATAGCAGGTGGAATTTTCTGTTTAGGCGTAGAGGGGGCAATTTTTGGCCCTTTGCTTTTATGTTGCATTATGGTTGTCATCAATTTAAGTCGACGTTATCTGCATTCGCCCGAAGAGGAAGTTATACTTCCAGCGTATTCCAGCACACCATGATACGAGCCAAAATAATGGTATGCTTTCGCTCTAACAAATTAATTTACTCTGCTTAATAATGTTGCGAGCTACGGGCTTGAATCCCTAGCTTTTATTAAGAATTATAAGATCCAAAGTTTTATATTAAACATTTTATGAAAGTTACCGTGTACGATGGCTGGACTAAACATGCAATGCACATACGAACGTGTAAAAACTGAATGCAGACCAATCACGAACAATTATCGACGAATATCAGCGAACGTGAAGAGAAGTTAATTATTTAATGTTTTTTATATAAAATATTTCTTTTTTATATAAAATAATTTTTTACAAAGTTTTTGTGTATATAATCTGTTATAAATTAATTTTTTTATAAAAAAAAGATAATGCTTCTCCGCTGATGCTCGTGATTGTTTACATTTTCATATGATTGGTCCAAATTCTGCTCAAATTCATACGTGCTTTACATATGTATTTTTATGTGATAAGAGAACTAACAGGAAGAAATCTCAGCTTACGCTTATTAGCTTTAAAATTATATCATACACATATATAATAAAAACAAATTATTTTTTTAAATTTAATATAATCATCATTTTCTATTTTTGACGAAATTTGGTTTGAAGCGACATAGATTTTAGTCTTCCATTATCTCTGATTATAAATTTGATACATATTATATATATAGATATAGATCTGTGACAATTACACATATATGATAATTTTATTTATGTATTACATTTTATATATGTATTGATGTGTTTTGTTTCTAATATATTGATTACTTTATATGCAAACAAAAAATAAGTGTTGAAATGTACTGACTTCAAGACTTAACATGTTATTTTTCATGTCAAACGTGTAACCAAAGATATGTGTTTATGGTAATAAATTTTCTCAACGTTTAATGCGTGTATTATACGCTAAATTATAATTCATTGAAATAATCGAAACGTAATCCTCGATAGCAGCGCGATGTCCAATTTGATGTCCATGATACTTGGTGGAGCCGTAATCGTGCTTATTATTCTTATCGGATTTGAAGTTTATTTACATTACGATACTTACTTTCCGTCAAGAACAGTTTAAAAAAAGTACGATATAATGAAATAAAAAAGTTTATTTATATCATAGTAAAAAGTTTATGTACGCGATATATTTATCGCAAATAATTATAATACATAAAGTAATTCTTTAATCAATATCTCATACGTAATTATGTAACAAAATCATAAATATTACGTACAATTAACATAAATTTTCTGTTTCTCTAAAACAGAGTAGTCGTCATCAAAATTGCTACGTGCATTATAAATGTCGGACAATGTAGCGAGTCTTATATTGCTCCGCAACAATTCGATCGTGGTCCCTTCGTGCGCATGGAAAATAATTTCTTTTTTCCTCTCGAACATGTGAAAACCATTTTCAGAAAAACGACCGCGTATATTGCCCACCTCTAGCCACACGAAGAGCGTTATATTGTCTGTCGATAACACAAACTTGAAATCGGGATAATTGGAAAGTTTTCCAGGTAAGGAGTGATTCTCTTCGATTTCCATCTGAAACGAGAGATATCAATCGTTTCTTCGACAGTTGCAACACGTCAAATGTCGATATCAAGATGATTTGCTTACGGTAACATTGGCTACTGGTATATCTGCATTTTTTAGTGCATCAGGATAAATATAATTGACTGGAGCGATCAAAGATCCAGATTTATCTGTGAGAGATAAAGCAGCTATGCAAGATCTTTTGGCGGATTCCAATGGTCCGCAACCTACTTGAACGAGAAACTCGTCTAGCCAGAAAGATGTAATTCTGATGGCTTTATTGGATTCCTGAAAGAATTAATATAGTCATGTGGATATTTACGCATACAAATTGCGTATACACGCGCTGCTTTTTTTCTCTCCATCGATATTTACTATTATAATATCATTGAAAGACTTTGCAAATACGGGTGTCATGGATCTCCAATTATAAACACGAATTTCCACTGTACAATTTGTTAACATATACAATCGATCAGATACAATATATATCGACAGTTCATTGGAAATGGACAAGTGTGGTGTAACGATAATAGGTGCAAAGAAATCTTTGGCGTAATAATGAAGCATCTTCCAGCGACCTTCGATATCTGTAAAAATGACATAAATGGAGGACTTTCAAACGACACGTATTAAGATTTAAAAAAATTCTCATAAGTTTAAATTGCGCTGTAGAATATTTCTAGTTCTAGTTACAAGATTATCATATATAAAATGTCTTTGACTATACCTATCGAAGACCATGAAGGAGCTTGCCAGACGTCGTTGAGCTGCCAGTAGAGAGCCCCCATTGTCATACCTTCGCCTATTGAATTCACCTCGGACTTGGCCTGCCTGTAAGCTTCCGTTTGTATCCTTATGGAAACGGCCTGATTGATCTGACTGAGATAAATGTAACTAGCGAAATCTCGGATGCTATCGTTATTTTGCGGTATAACAAAATTGTGCGAGATCAACACCCGCATGTACTGATTGCCGAACGGTAGATGTTGTCGATGTTTCACAAAGTCACTGTCTACGTGAAGATCTTTCGCGTTTTCCACAGCGGTCGCTATCGTGTATATCGACGGCCAAGACTGAAACCCGTACTCGGAGCAAAATCTTGTCCGAGGATACTGGGTGATGTCCCATCCATTTCTGATATAATTATAATAATGAACTGGAAAATATACGGCACAAGTACATTTAACGTTTAGTAAATGTGTTCTATTGGCATATTAAACAATTAGATATCTCGAAAACAACGCATTTCCGAATCTTTTAGCAAAGGAAAAAGAAGCTCATTTTTGACAAAGACTATAAATAGTATCCTATTTATATATGGGACATTCTGTATATATTACCGTCTCCGTAGAGATTCGAATAAGGATTTACTCCGGTATAGTTGTATGTTTCCTCGTACGCCCCGTTGCCCGGACTAGATACGAGGAACGGTCTTACGGGATCTAATCTCTCCACCTCTCTCTTTAACAGATTTACGTAGAGCTTCACATAATCCTCTCTGTAAATTCGAGCGGACCCAGTGCCGTACCAATTTCCATATAGCGCCGCTTCGTTCTCGTTATTACTGGCCCAGAGCACGATGCTTGGATGGTTCTTCAAACGTATCACGTTCTGCAGTATCTCCTGCTCAACATTCTTCAAGAAGGAATCGTTCGTGGGATACATGGCGCACGCGAACATGAAATCTTGCCAGAGCATGATCCCGTATTCATCAGCCAAGTCGTAAAACAATTTGGACTCGTAGACACCGCCTCCCCATATCCTCAGCATGTTCATATGTGTCTCTTTGGCGGATAATAACAAGTGCCTGATAGTGTCTTCCTTCGAGCCTAGTTCGGGGAAGACGCTGGCTGGAATAAAATTACTGCCTTTAGCGAAAATCGGTACACCATTCACGCGAAAGTAGAAGCTCAGTCCCTTTTCTAAAGGTTCCTCCACCAACTCCACCGTTCTGAAGCCCACGCGGATCTGTTTATGCAGTACACCGTTCGCCGTTGTCACAGTGGTAGTCAGATGGTACAGATGTTGTTTGCCATAACCGTTTGGCCACCAGTTCTCAACGGCGTCCTTGCCAGAAAGAAAATGTTAGATTATTGAAAATATAAAAGTAGTCACATATTAATGATAATCGTGTAGAAGAACTTACTGCAGGCACAATGAGTGAGATGTTAATATTTATGTATTTTTCGCTTGTATCAAGCATGATCTCACTGGTATTACTGACGAGTTCACTTTGTGAAACGTGCAATATCGACGCTATGTGACAACTAATTGTTGATAAATTTTCCTTCTTACTCTGTGTCGTTTCGAGAAATATTGTAACAAGGATATTCCAGATGTCCTTCTCTCTGCGTATGTCAGTTGTAACATCGTTGATCAATAGATCATTTACAGAAATCAATTCAACATTTTGCCTACAAACTTATAGCTTACATTATATTGATGAAAAATATAAACGAGAAGTTTATTGTAAGATGGATGATTTCTAATTACCAAATGCCAACCGAGGGAAAAGCTGGTCCCCAGTCCCATGAGAAACTAGCTTGCATTTTACGAATATGATTTACATGACATTGCCCATTATATTCCTTGGGTACGCACACTGGTGGTACAATGTAATTTTTTCTTTGTTCATCATATAAATCTTCAGCTACTTTGACAGCCGAACGAAATGCGACTTGCAGCAGATTCTGATCTTCCTATATATCCCAAATATAAAAACAAATTTTACAAGGAATTTTCAAGGAATATATATTTTATGCTGTTTGGTTGACACAATTCTCTTACCTTGATATAATCTGTCACATCAAAAATATATCTCAAAAACATATTTGAAGTCTGTCCAATCATATGACCATTCAAGGAGATATTGGCAAATGTATCAATCCCATAAAAAATCAAGACTATCTTGCGAGCTTTTAGAAAATCACTGTTTACTAGAAAAGTCATAGTTAGATTATATATATATATAAGAGAGAGAGAGAGTGTTCTATACTCATTTCAATTTATTTACCGTTAAAATTTTTGATGTAAACAACAGATTGATTTCCGACCCAACGATTATTGACATCGTTCCTTCCAAATAGATTATTCTCTATTATGTTATTCCTATATAAATCTGTATAAATTCCTCCAGGAACAGTTGCGTTAAAATTAATGTCTATAGAAAAGAATAATTATTGAGTATCTACAGATAAAAACATAGAAAAAAAAGAAAGAACATCATGTAACTTTTATAAAAAATCAAGTCCAAGTTCCTCTTACCATTATTGCATCCATGAAAGAGTTCCTTTTTATCTGAAAAAAAATATTTCTTGTAGTAATTTAAATCATCAATGAGGATGTATATATATATATATTCTTTGTACTAATTATACACACACAAACGTAGTTTTATCACATATATGATATATTCAGAAGTTTGTCAAAAAGAAATGGCATATCTATTTTTGAGAAAGGATAAGAATATTTGATAATACGTACGACAGATATTAATGGTCCCTCTCCATGCGCCATTTAGGGTTATAAATTGACAATGTATATTTATTAAAAAGGAAATCCATAATATCAAAATGAAGAATTTCATTTTAGCAGCTGTGACAGAGATATATTGAAGTACGAGGTAACTACTTGAAACAAAAAATTGAAAGTAATTCAGTAAGAAGTTTATATTTATTTATTATTTTTCGCATTTCATATGCCGAGCTCCGATAAATATAAAGATAAAAACGAGTAGCGACTTCTTATTTAAAGAGAACTTTGTTATTATATATCTACCGGCATAGACCACTCCACTTTTCTTATCAGAGTTTATCACCTTAGATTAGGCCAAAGTTTATCAATCCATAACCTTGATATTGAGAGAAAATGATAATATTATCCCTTTGCATAAGATAGCTGATATAGATACATTTTTAAGAGATAAAAACTCTATCTAGAAAAGAAAAGTCACAACTCTCAATACCTCTTCGAGTTGCAGGAGTGATTTTTTGAGTGTCAAGCTTTCTTTATAAAAGGTTAATAAAAATTCTTGAAAATTTGAATATTTTAATGCTATTTTATTTATAAACAATAAATTTTATTAGTATAAAAATATCATATGTTAATTTACATTTCAGTGCATTAAGATAATTTTACAGAAATTAATGCATATATATCGAGCTTATACGTAGAGCCTTTTGAAAAGTGCTCTGGAATTTACAAAGTATCATTCGAGAAACTTTACAAATCGCTTAAACATATTATATCGCTTAAACAACTGCATACATATGCAAAATAAAGTTTTATTTGTATGTGAGTGGAATGTATTTATATATATATTTAATGGCCACATAATATTCACTACCTCCTTTCGTCTTTCTGTAATTTTTGATACTGATAGAAATTAGTAGAATATTTATGCAATATAATCGTTAATGCAATACATTGCCAAAACAAAATAAGAGATCTTTATCTCCTAATAATTTTTATTGTTATTAAAAACATAACAAACAGAAAAAAATTGAATCTTTATAATGATATTTAGATGGAATTTGAAATAAACTTATGAAAAAAGTGATTGACAACTGCATCAAGATAAATTTATAAAATCCCACAATTTGCAATTTTAGTTTTAATACCAGTTTCTGATGAATTTAAAGTAAATTATTTTTCAATTAAAAGGCACTAACTATGTCAGATTTATGAATGAAAAAGCGGGGCTTTTCATGAATTAAACTTTATTACTTTCAGGAACAAACAAGATAACAAAATCGTATTCTTAAATTAATTTCAAGTAGACTTTACTTAAATAAAATTTTGTTTTGAAAAGTTCATAATCTGAAAAATTTGTAATATTGAAAGTTACTTTCTTCAACACTTTTTCATTAAGAGACAATTTTTAAAACTTAAGTGTTCAAAGAATCGTTAAAATTACTCGAATTACGAGACACTCTGTATTATATGATATTCTGTGACATAGAATGTTATGCAAATGCAAGAAACATGCATATCGATTGCTTAATGCTATGCAATAGCTTAATTCATGATATGCCGTAAAGCTTTCTTCAAGTGAAATAGAAAATAATTATACGTTTGAAAGAAAGTCCTCGTATAACGACCAATATAAATATTCCCTTTCTATTACAACATATCATTTCCTTTGATATATAGTTTCCTTTTTCTATTAGTATTTATTTTTGTTTTGTTATCAGAGGGAAACTGGCCCAAATAAGCTATCTCGGAATCTTTCTGTTCATCGATTATTCGCTTAGAAATGTGAAAGGATGAAGCAGGTACAGTATCAATATCTTGAGATCCTGAAGAAAAAGAAAATAAATCTAATACAAACGGCAATTTAACTGAAATAAATTAATGGAAAATCTTTTAAAAACTCTTTTAAATAAATATAAAGAAAAGAAAAAGAAATGCATTATTTATATGTGTGTCAACAATATATTTAAAAAATAAAGAAAATTCGGAGCCTTCAAACAAGCTCATCAAATTTTCAATTCCCAATGTGATTTATAGATTCTTTGCATAAACTTGTATAAAGGCAGATGTTTATAGTTTTTTTTTTTATATACCAAAGAAAGTTAGCAATCGAAATTTGTTTGCTCTGTACAATTAAAAAAATTATCTAATGCATCACACGATAAGATAAATATTTATCAGAAACCGGAAACACACACACATCAGCAAACAATAGATTATGTAACACTGAACGTACCATGCGAATGCCTTTTATCATGCTTACTGATACATTGCTGAACATGTTCTTCATATTCCACCCCGTTACTAGTTTTGTATTTACTGCATATATTACATTTCAATATAATCGCGTCATTATCGTCCTCTTCATTATTTATCTCGAATTGTTCGCAATCAGCGGCATGATTTTGTATCTCGCTATGCGGAAACACCTTATTACATATAGGACAACTTACATTATTTGTCGAAATAATTACATTATTAGATTGATTGCTATTCTGTACATCCAACTCCTATAGATTATAAAAAATTAATATTATTAAAAATTCAGAGAGAGAGAAAGGGAAATAACATAATTTAACTTACTGGATTTGTTTCAAATAACTTGTCCTCATCATCAGACATTAGTTGATGCTCCCAGCTATTTCCATTCTTTATCCTACTTAATTCTTCTTCTTTTTTTTGTTGTTGGCGAAGTTTTGGTCTCTTTTCCTTTTTCCGTTCCCCATCGTTCTCATTTTCTTTTGCCGTTGCCTCCGTTTCTTTACCCGTCTCCGTATTACGAAGCGACACTTGTTTCTCGTGTAATCTAGATAGTAACACTATCGGTATTGGTAATGGTCGTATCTCTACGTTTTTTTTTACTGCAAGCTCTTCCTCGTCGCTATTCCAGTCTACCATCAATTTCTGATGGATTTCTGTTTCTGTCAATGTATTCTTTTGCTTTTTTGTCTGTTCGACAATTTTATTCCTATTGGATTGCCGCGTCTTTGGAAATGGTTTCGACGTAGCAGTTCTCTTTCTGTGTCTCGATAGACTTAAACGTGCCTTAGGATTGGGTGGTATTATTCTTCTCGGATATGTATTTAATTCTGTCGGTACACTTTCATTTTTTTCATTGGTCTTAGAGCATACAGATTTAATATGCTCATTGTCGAAATCTGTATCGCTATTGTTATCATTGATGGAGTTTTCTTGACGCGCGATCACGCTCGATGTTGCTTTTTCACGATTGTCATTATGCCCGTGTTGATTCGCGGCACGTTGTATGTTACTCGATTTACTGTCAGATTGTACTCTCTTCTTCTTACCACGAGTGGAATCGTACCACTTGTCTTCTTCGTCCTCGGTGGAACTTTCTCTATTCAGACTAGCGATGAGAGAGCTCGCTTTACGTTTACTAGCTCGCTCGTGACTGTCTTTGTATGTACATTCTGTTGTGATCTGTTCAGTCTTAGGTTCTGTTAATGGCTTTTTATCCAAACTACCATTAGCAATGCCGACCTACAGAAACAAGGATTAGAATCAGAATAAAAGTAAACAGAATTGAATGAAGTAAACAACTATGTTTTCTTTTTTACACAAATATAATTTATTCAAAAATGTTTCGCAGTTTACAGCATTTAATAACTGTGTTCTTGTAAACGCTCATATCTGTGTACATATCTGTGTATAAAAGCAATATTTTATAATATTAATAAAAAATATCAAATGTCTTTCTTATAATTCATTCGACAACAAAATACTACAAACTGACTTGTATAAATAATTTTGTATACATACTGTTATAAAGTTAAAATGTAATGACATCAGCAAGTAATACATGGAAGTTAGTTTACACACAGTATTAATAAATCAAAATGTAATAGATGCACCTTTTGGACATAGCACATATTGTAACAATATATTGTACTGTCTCAAAGAGAGACAGATATAAAATCATGTCACAGAGTTCTCATAAAAGATAAGAATCAAAGAAAAATTATTCACCAATAAAATTTTTATAAATTAATGCATTCTGGTATAAATTAAAATTTCTATAATTTGACTTTATCGATAACTCCAAAGTATTTAAATTGACGAGCTTATCAGTGATGCTTAAAGGAGTTTTCTCAAGCCATATGTGGACGATTTCTTTCAGACATATCGAAATAGCATATATAATAAAAAGTGAGTATACTTTTAATAATATTCTAAATGAATACAAGATCTTATATCTAAGAAAATAATTGCATCGCAAAATAACAAAATAAAATTCAAATACTGGCAAAATCTTCTAACATCGAATTGGCATATAAATGGTCTCTTTTGTGTTAAAAAAATGCGTATATATGCATATTATGAAAAGAAAAAAGAAGATCTTATGCTCATTAGCGATATGAGCGATACGGGAGGGATTGTAGGGTACCCACCTGAATGGGTGACCCCCATTGAAATATCGAATTAGCAGGGAGCCAACTGTACCACAAGTCTGCTATTTCCTTCAAATGCTGGCACATAAATCGTATTGCTTGGTCGCGCTGCTCGGATGTGTGCGTTTCTTTGCAGTACCTGAATGGTACACGTTCCTCAGTCGAGGACCGATTTGGTTGTTGCAAAGGCACGTCGTTTTCGTTGATACAGACATCGAGCGGGTTCAGTCGCCATCTTTCCAGCCTTTGAACAAACTCGCCCTGCATATCCTGCACCGTTTTTTTGTCCGCCGCGTTCTGGCTCTCTCGTGGAATATTTGTTGATCTTGACGAGAGGAAATGATTTGTACTGTGGGTAGAATTGGTGCTCTCAAACTGTTTCTCGAATATTTCATCACTATCCGAGCTCTTGCGCCTGTACATAGGGTTTCGTACTTCGAAAAGGGACGGGGATCCCGGATTGTTGATGTAGTGAGCAGTCTTATGCTCGTGCACTGTTGGAGATGTGCGATTCAATCTATAAGAGTATGATGGATGTCTAGATACCTCTGTACATTCCTGTAAAGCCATTTCTTGCGATGCATTCGCGTCAGACGCAATTTCCGAGAGATGTTGATTATTAGCATGCCCCTGAAATATTTTTAAGCAAACAATATATTTCACTTCTTTTCTAATTTCTTGGATTCAACATACACATAATGATCAAACTTCGAATTTGTAATAATAATATGAAATATTTTATATTTCACAAGATATCACATAATTTATATGATAATGATAATTACACACCTTATGCGTATCTTTATTATTGGCAACCTTTGATGTGTCTTGAGACTCGTTGATAAATCCAAGTAATTGTTTCATTTGTTTATATGTGAATTGTGGCTCGTATATTCCGATATCTAAAGAAAAATCGATAATTATCAATTGTGCTTGTAGCAAGTGACTCTTAAGTTTTTTTTTTTTTTTTTTAAGATTAAATTTCACAATAGTATAAAAAAAATACATATATATATATTAATGATCGTTGGTTTAGGACAATTGCATTCTAATATGCTACACACATATTGAGTAATATTTGGCAAAATCAATGATTTAAAAATTAACACAGTTGATTCTTTTCTACATTACTACGTTGATATTTCGCATCGTTTCGCCGCAAACGAATCCAATTACCCGTGAGCTCGCGCTTCATCTCTTCCTCCTCGATCTTCCTCGCGGTTAACCTCTCGTTTTTTTCCCGTTCCATGCTGTCCGATATAAAGAGCGAGTGAGAATTTGTGGAAATCGTGCAAAATAATCTTCCGCTTCCTACAGATGCACAGTGTCAGAGTGTCATGTGCCTCGCGTGAAATATTTGCTCTAACAGAACGTAAATAAAGATCTCTCTACGCCGCAATCATGCCTGATTGCTTCTCCCTCCAGCCTCCAGTTTCCTCTCCTTAGATCGCCTTGGATCGCCTTGTCTCGCAATGTCGCGAGATGATACTAGATTAGATATATAATATGTCTTTCGAACATTTGTTCACATTAGTTGTCTTCGCACGGATAGCACGCCGACGAGCTACGGTTCCATGTCTATCAATAGGTTTGTTCTTTTTAGCTGAACTTTTTGCAGATTTTTCGTTTTTCCTTTCCTTCTTTCGAACTTTTACATATATATATATATCTATCTCATTCCAGTTCAGTTAAAAAAAACAAAGTTATTGTTATTTTTCGCCTGCGTATGTGCATATCGAAAAAAATTTGATATTAATAAAAATTGCCAGAAAATACAAACTTCTTGAAAGAGACCTTGGATCTTGGACTTTGGACGATCCTTAGCGCCTCTGATCACAGAAGTGGCGAACTAAATGTGGACCACGTGACGAGCAATAGACTGTCGCGCCAAATTTAAGTTATTAAGATGCGCGTGCGCGTCTGTATACAGGGTATCCGATCAATTGTTGCTTCTTGAGCACACTTTGAGACGCATAAAAGTTTTTAAAATGAAAATGCCAAGATCATAATAGTTTCCACATGCAAATCAAATTATTTAAAATTTGCACGCTCTAAGCACGACAACAATTTATGAGATGAGGACTGACAATGAGATAAAAAATCCTTCTCGTTTATAAACGCGACGCGCGAAATAAAATGCAACGGGGTATTTAAGAATAAAATATATGGACAAGGAACAAAGAACATATAAGAATAATCTCCTATTTATAGCAAACGATACATTCTGATACGTAGATGTTGAATAGATAATATCTTTTTTACATTTGTTTTGTTATTAAGTTTGTGTGTTTCTTTTATTATATATCTTATCTTATTACGTGTGTATTATTCGTAATCTTTTACTTTATATATATTACTTTTATTTTTCTCTCACATGTGTCTTACTTCGATATCTTATCATGTATAGTTTTACTGACCATAAAAGCTAGCGCTCCAACTTACTGCTATATATTACTTATACATAGTTTACGACTCTTTTAAAGATTATGTACCTATAAAATATTCAGCGAAGATTGTGATACCCCAGCTGAAGAACGTTGCGAGCATTTTGTGGAGGATTTATGTATAAGAACCTGTTCTTTGATATGTGTAATTAAACGCCATAGAAAAGAAGGGAAAGAAGTAAAAGATATTAGAAACTCGATGTATATATTTACTTTTTTTTCTTATTTTTACACATAATTTTCAATGATAATTAATATTCTCGAGAAAGGAGATACTATAAGAATGCGAAAATATTATAGCTGCTTGGAGATAGATATAAAACAACAGATTGCTATTACCAATTAATTAATTAAATATTTTTTGCCATCAAAATTATATATATACTGCGTATCACCTGTGTATTTTAAATCATATTTTCTTACATCGTTTGTGTTAGTGCATATCATCTTCGAGCGATAGAAAAAAAAAGAAAGAAAAAAAGACATACGTACGCATCAATAATAAATTCAAGCGACACTACTCGTTCGATACCTTTCTTAGGCTATAAGATATCCCGGAGGGGCAGTTTTCCATGAACTTTTCTATTTATTCCGTTGTATCGAACCGCGTGCATGTTATCGGGAAGAGAAGAAAACGCGCGGGGCATACATGTAAAGACGTAAATATGCGTCTCTCCGAGGGTCGTCGGTCGTTCTCGTATGTATGTATACCGTGTATGAAACACATACAAGATACGTATCCGTCATCATCGACACGGTGGACGGTGTACTATATACCGCATAGGCGGAGCAAGGCAGAGGACGGCACTGACGGTTGACAGCTGACGGCAGTCGCAGGTCGCAGGTAGCAGTACGCAGACTACAGAACAGAAACAGGCTACGCAGTACCTACTTATATCGTTCGCACAGCGTAACGAGTAACGAATCTTCGTCGTTCGCGACACCGCTGGTTTTTCCCGCGGGTTTTTTTATCTGAAAAATTCTTATCGTACCTATATCGTCGCGCTGTATATCGTTCGTCATGCCGCACGCGAGATAATGTCACGGTCCGCTGTTGGACGGTCGCGCTCGCCGACGGAGACGAGGTTAGGCGCGCGCGATTTATTATCAATCCTGACGTGTCAGACACGAAGCGCAAATGGCGGCCGAGGAGGATGTGTCCGCGCTCGGCGAGCGGGTCGACAAGCTTAGCGTTTCCGCGACGACGACGGACGAGGACGATGAGGCGGCGGGCAAGGTCGAGAGTGATGCCGAGAATGGTGACGAAAAAATCTGCGAGCCCCGACTCTGGGACTTTGAGACACGAGAGCTCTACAAACTCGCGCACAACTTCTATAAAGGTGAGTGCCGGATATTTCGGTTCTTTGGTCACTTTAATTATGCGAACGTGTGTGTGTGTGTGTGTGTGTTTGCGGCGCAATCAAATAAATTTTCTTCGATAAGATCCTTAAAATTCCTTCGAATCTCTTGAGTCGAAGATCTTGTAAATATTACTTGTATTTTCAAATTTTGATATAAACTTCTATGATAAAGAAAGATAAATGATAAATTTTTTAAGACAAAGATTCTAATCTAAGAACGTTATTTGTCAAAGATATATAATATATTAGTTGAAAATTTATATTATTCATCTGATTCTTATTTTAATTTTTAATTTTAAATGCTACATTACATAGTTAAGAATTGTTGAAATAAGCGCGGATGCAAATTTTATATTTGCATATTTATATATTAGTTGAAAATTTATATTATTCATCTGATTCTTATTTTAATTTTTAATTTTAAATGCTACATTACATAGTTAAGAATTGTTGAAATAAGCGCGGATGCAAATTTTATCGATATACAAATATGCATTTGCAAGAGCATTTTTAGATTTACAATACATGACCATAAAAGTCTTTATATGAAAGTAATATGAAGCATCTTATATGTAAATCTTTTGTATGCATAATTTTGTATTGTGCAATAATTATTGATTATTGACAACACAATGTTTTGCGCATACTATTGTGAAACGTATTTTTGCATATAATAGTACGAATGGATTTTAAATATAAAAAGAAAAATAAATTACATTGTTAATATGTATTTTTTACAAGATTGTTATCGAAAGATTTGTATATTTAGAGAAAGAGGGCAAGGCTGTTCATCTCTCTTATGAGGATAAATTGAAATTGGTGGCATTCACGCAGCAAGTGACGCATGGAAAATGTACAGCCGAAAATGCACCACCGTTAGGTGTCCTGGACGTGATTGGAAGGGACAGGCGATTGGCGTGGCAAAATCTGGGGGATATATCAAAGGAACAAGCAATGGAGGGTTTTATAGTACTGTTGGACAAATTGTGCCCTTTATTTAGAACCGTAGTCGAAGCTCAGAAAAGAGACTTTGAAGAGAAACAGCGACTTAAGAAGGAGGACGAGGCCAAAAAGCTGGATGAGGAAAGGAAACTTAAGGAGTTGGAGGAGGAGAGGAAAAAGCAAGAAGAGGAAAGACTGAAGGAGGAGACTCAAAGAAGACAAATCCAAGATGCTTTGAATCAGCAGACTTATTATCAGTTTAAAGTGTACGCTGAACAACAATATCCTGGCAATCCAGAGCAGCAGGGCGTTCTGATCAGGCAGTTGCAGGAACAACATTATCATCAGTACATGCAGCAATTGAAACAGAATCAATTAGTCATCGAGGACCAGACCGAGGAGGAGAAGAAGAAAAACATCGAACCAGAGGACATAACGTGCAAAGATGACGATGACGATAACAAGGACGACACAAACGAAAATGCGCCTTTGAACGATGAAGACTCGGATGAGTTTGAAGACTGGCCGCCTATCACTCCCGCGGAGATGTGGACGAGAAAGGGCGTAGAAGAATTTAAGCAGATCATCAGGAGAGAAGCAGGCGACGCGGTCATTAAAGTCGGTCATGGCGAGACTGTAACGGTGCGAGTGCCAACGCATGAGGATGGTACGTGCTTATTCTGGGAATTCGCGACGGACGGTTACGACATCGGTTTCGGAGTTTACTTTGAGTGGTCCAAACCGGAGACGAATCAGGTATCCGTGCATATAAGCGAGTCCGAGGACGAGGACGACGAGGAGGAGGAATACGAATCACGAGAAGACCTGGAGAGTGGATCGGTAAACGGCAACCCTCGACCTGAACGTAAAACGATTACGCCACCCATAAGCGTTATAGTACCTGTGAGTATTCAAATATTACTTGTTTTCAGTTTGAATTACATAACTCGTATATGTGTAAGAGTTGTAGAACGTTGCACTGATATATTAATGATTTTAATGTCATTTAAAGGTATATAGGAGAGACTCTCAAGAAGAGATTTACGCTGGAAGTCATCAGTATCCAGGCGAGGTGAGAGCATAAGAAAATTTGCCATACAATTATTTAATCTGCGCATATGTATGGCTCTGTGTGTATGTACTTGAAGATAATTATTAATTTCTCGTTTTTTGTTTTTGCAGGGAGTGTATCTTCTAAAGTTCGACAACTCTTATTCGCTTTGGCGGAGTAAAACGCTTTACTACCGAGTGTATTACACACGGCAGAACTTCGTGAAGAATAATGATTAGTCTTTATATTACATATTGAAACGAGATGTGTATCGGGTATACGTCGTCGTCTGTTGAGCACTAGCCTTGGCATAATAATTGTCTACTAATAATGCTAGTCCAACTAAATAAGTTTTATGTCCCAATTCGATTCGCGCAAAAGCGACAAAATCTGTTCACACATACAAAGAAAATATATTTATTGTATAGTCAAATAAGAACACACACATGTTCTATATTCTTTAAAGTGGCAAAAAAACTGTGCGCACGAAACAGATTCTTAACTGTTTACGAAATGATTGTGTAAATTAATATTTAACTCTTCTATGCATAATATTGCATAATCTGCGGCGATTCTCGTATCTACGTCATTCCTCGATTCAGGCAACATCCTTTCTCTTATCATGATTTTGGAAAAAATTTTAAAATATTTACATCGGCGCGCAAATCTTTATATATATATATTAGGTCTACTGGAAAGTTCTGTCCGTTTTTGGAATAAAACAAAATACAAATTTTTATTACCGTCAATAAACTTTATTAAATAATGTAATTGCCATTATTCGGAGAAGTATTGTCAGCAACTGGATAATTTAAATACAGCAGTCCAAGAAAAGAGGCCGCCGATGTTCAATAGGAAGAACATCATACCGCATCATGATAATGCCAGGCCACATGCTGCTTTGGGGACTCGTCAAAAAAGTGCAGAACTAGGCTGGGAAATTCTGTCGCATCCACCATATTCCCCGGACTTAGCACCCTCCGACTATCACTTGTTTTTGTCCCTACAAAATTTTTTGAGGGGCAAAAAATTCAAAAAGGAACAAGATATCAAACAAGCACTGGTTCGCATCAAAAGATAAAACATTTTTCGAAAATGGGATATACAAATTGCCCTCACGCTGGCAAGAAATCATTAATAATAATGGAAATTACATTATTTAATAAAGTTTATTGAAGAGAATTGTGTTCAATATGTTGAAATCGGACAACATCGTGTATTTCTACTGCTCTATTGCCTCGCACGCATATCTAAGCGTATTTAAGCTTATAGATAACAGTATAATATAGACGTGTCTGCCTTTATCACATATTTGAACACAATTTCACATTGTTCATACGGGCTATGTGTCTTCCCATATATCTTCCAAGAGGAATGACATTTGGTTGTGTATATGTATATATATATATATATATGTATATGTATATGTATATCTGAAAAGATGTTTCGTGTTAGAACAAAGGATTAAATGTATACACATATGCTTTTGTATTGTCTATATGGATATTTGCTTGGAATGTTTTTTTGCTAACTCCATGTTATACAGACTTTATTACTATATTAGTGTTCACTATGTCATGTAGCTTTTATTAAAATTATCTTATTTTTCTTTAAGGAGAAATACAGCAACAGATTCAGTGCACAGTCCTCGTTTCATTCGCGATTCAACGACAAAGTTCACTCTCTTCTCTCCTTTTTTATTGTAACCTTTATTATTCTATGTAGCCATATTATTTTTACAGCAAAATCGTGCGATTTATATTACTTATGATATTAATAATAACATAATAATAATAATATTAATTGTATTCTGTAACATCCAACTACAAATAAGTTACACTAACGGGTATGCCAGCTTGTGTGATTCCGCTCTTATCGTACTCCCATCTTATTACGCGTTTAGCTTCGACCTATAACGACGTTTAATTAGAAGAGCACTTTTTTTGAGACGGCATGAGTTTTGTATCGTTAATTTGTTCGGGGAAGGAGCGGAGACACAGAGCGAAATTGATTCCATTATATGTGCGCGCCCTAAAAGTACACACGTAGATTGTCCGCAAGAGATTAAATATAAGTGCCGTTTAAACGACGGAGTTACGAGTTGGCTCGTTTTACATTTGGCTTGACAACCGTATATATTTGTAACAGTCTACTTAACATGCATACTTCCACGAGCTCGAGCTTCACCCTAAGCGTCAAATATGCACGTTTTACCCCTTCCTTCGCTAAAAAAATACGGTTTCGTTGTAGTACAAACATCCTCATGGTAAGAAAGCTATTGTGCGGCATTCTCTTTTCCGTTTATTCTTTCACCTTCGAATCGTACGACGTAATGTTTTTTTTTTCGCGAAGTAATTTTACTTTTTTTCGAACATTATCGAATTGCGTGACGTTTAAAACTTAGAAACGATTCGCTCGTATATGGCACGCAATTACTACATACATGGTTGTACCATGGTATGGCAGTTGACGAATCTCGGAACGCCAAAGCTTTACCATCTATCTTACATACGTTTCTAACAACGACATTGTTCTTATTTTAAATGACGCAAAGCTTATACTTTGTCACTGCCATTGCTGCGGAAGTTGTCTTATCTGAAAGCACGTCCGTCCCGTTCATTCTATATGTACTAATAAAATCGTGATCTCTTCGAAGTTGTCACGCCCAAACTAAACGCTAGCTTCTTCGTTGACCTCGTCGCCCTGAGATTTTTAGACTGGCCTTAGCTATCAGGTGCGTCATGAGCTTTTTTTTCGTTTCAGCCCCGAGAAACGTATAAACCATATTTTTTACAGAGAAACAATTTGAAATATATTTTTATAGAAAATTTTATATATCGATACACTTGGACATACGCGTCTAAAGCAACAAGCATAAACCAAAATTCGTATAGTCCCTCGATGATTTCAACGAGAAACTCGGATTAAATTTTTTTTCGGCACATTAATTATTATATTCCTATATTTAATACCTCGGGCTGAAACGATTAGATTATCACATATCATTGACGACGTATCATTGAAGTCCCTAACGCGGACGTAATGCCTATACAAGGTGTCTACTCTCTACTCAGGTTTTCTTCAAATTGATCCAGGAATTAATAAGTAAAAGAAGGTGTGCACAAGACAACTGCATATTTACGAAGCAGCCTCGGTAGCGACTTCGTTCACATCACCTTAAGCCCTAGATTTGCATTAATTTCTGTGCGCTATACTGTTTCTTTAGCCTTAGAATTACAGATCTAAAGTATATAAATACGACGAAGGCATATGTCGGTAAATGCGTGTGTGCGTATGTGTGTGTTTGTATATGTATGTGTGCACGTATGGTTGAAAGTGAAACATTTATCAAAAACTCAGCAATTGTGGTCGTTAGGTGTCATGCGGATAAACACGCGCACTCACACCTAATATAATAATAATAATTACCGCGTGCAGTGTATTGTAATTGAGCTATATCGTTTAACATCAATTTACACTTCGCTTTATCCCATCCTTAAAAAATACATAACTCGGTACCGCTCGATGAATCTGTACGTCGTGCTCGTTTGTTTCGTATAACGAACAACCGCGAAGAAAATAGATGACTCCAGAGGAATTGATAGGAATACGTTCTATGCGTTTATGACAATTACTGTAGCCTTTTTCTCCATCACTTCCCTATTATTTTTTATTTCCTTTTTCCAACTGAAGAATTTGAAAACAAAAGACTGATTTTTTCTTTTTTAATTTTTACTAAAAAAAAGTTTTTGAGAAAGAGAATAACTTTCGATTGATAGAACGAATCTTCGAAAATTCCCATTACTTCATCTATTTTCCTATACGTGTGTGTACGCGGACTCGGTTATACTTTATAACAATTAGTAACAAGTGAAATATTTTCGTTCGATTTGTCGTTTATGCTTAAAATATTCGAACGACAATGAAGACTTGAGAGGAGACCGGAAATGTGGATGCTTACATCGTTATACGCATCTGGTGTATATCTCCCGTTACCACACACATTTAAGATCGCAAATTCTCTGCCCACTTTACATAGGTAAATATAAACAGCTCGGTGACAGATGATGATAATTAATATTAATAGAAAAATGAGGATACTTAAGTCTATAACAATATGGAGCTTTATCAAATATTTTTAGGTTTATATTCATTAGCCACGTAATATATACTTAATATGTAAATAAATCGTCCGGATTCGATCGGAATGTACGAAATGGTCTCGCGTCGATACGTATATGACAAAACTTAAGCGGGTCGGATCCACTAAACGTTGCTAAAATGACAATCTAAAGAATCGTTGCTCTTGGCCGCAACTCGCGATAGACTGCATACGTAATTGACTCGACGTTTTGTATAACAGCGTATACACCTAATAGTAAATTGCGCGTTAACTTTCGAATTGGTTTGGCTAAATTAGCGAGGCACATCGTCCCGAAAAATTAATTGTACTTGAACTCGCTTCCAAGGCGCAATCGCTTCACTTAGCATGTTCGTCTACATTGAAGCTCTTCTATGCTCGCGGTGCATTCGATCGCTTAAATGCGATTGTTCGACAAAGCCGTTCGATAACTTTGCGATTAATTGGACGCAAAGAGCGCGTACACTAAACGTGCGGGCACCTCCTTCGAACTCTGCCCGAAATCCGCGAATCTCACCTAAACGTCAGCGCGTAACGTTATGGTCCTCTTGCGAGAGTGCCGTCTTTAAGCGAAGGCGCAAAGGGCAATAGCCCGCATTGGAATGTCTTTTGAAAAAACCGCATGACCCGTTTGCGCGTTAACTGGTTTTAACTCGAAAGTAGTAGGACGGATACTTACAATACAAATATAGCGTGGAACGAAGGAGTAACAATTTTAAGGCTGAGTTGTGCCGACTGGAGTCTTGATTAGCTAAAATCTCCATAGTCGGCGACTCGCTGTTTCCTATCTGTTTCCTAGATTATAGTCCCATTTATAATATTATAGACAGATGAGGAAAACTTGCAATCTTATTATCTAAAGGCGAACAACGCACCAATCATTTCGGTTAAACCCGCGATCTCCGGTTTAAAGAAACTTGTACCTGTATTTTTTTGCAAAATTATTAATTTCTGATGTAAACATTGATTTTATAATTATAAACTTCACGAGATAAGAAAACATTCTTTCTTCGTTAATTTTGTGTAGATCTTACTTTAGCGGAATTTTCATTCGACGTTCACAATCATCAAAATATATAATATTGTACATTAACAAATGATAAAAAATATTTAGCTTTTTTAAATTTTGCTAAGAAACAAGAAATCATTTTCCTTCACAAGAACTGTTGCGAAATTGATGCGACACCTTATGCAGCAAAATAGTTAACCGCGATTTTGTCTAACCGAGATCGGTGCATTCGACAGCCCGAGAATAAGTACGCTCGCGTTACAACGACGTCTCCATGCTGAAATTCGCT